TCCAGGAAAAGATGGAAATTCCTGGGGAAAAAAGTGAAAATTTGGGAAAAAAAGGTGGAAATTTGGGAAAAATGCTGGGGTCAGTGCAGGGGTTTGGGGTCATTTTGGGGTCGTTTCAGGGGATTTTGGGGCCATTTTGGGTCCATTTTTAGTCCATTTTCAGACAACTTTTGAGGAGGATTTTGGGGCCATTTTGGGCCCATTTTGAGGAGGATTTTGGGACCATTTTGGGTCCATTTTGAGGATGATTTTGGGTCCATTTTGGGACCATTTTGGGCCCATTTTGAGGATGATTTTGGGTCCATTTTGGGTCATTTCTGGGATGAGGATTTTGAGGATGATTTTGGGTCCATTTTGAGGATGATTTTGGGTCCATTTTGGGTCAATTTTGAGGATGATTTTGGGTCCATTTTGGGGATGATTTTGGGACCATTTTGGGTCCATTTTTAGGATGATTTTGGATCCATTTTGGGTCCATTTTGAGGAGGATTTTGGGTCAATTTTTGAGACCATTTTGGGACCATTTTGAGACAATTTTGGGACCATCTTGGGTCCATTCTGAGGAAGATTTTGGGTCCATTTTGAGAAAGATTTTGGGACCATTTTGAGAAGGACTTTGGGACCATTTTGGGTCCATTCTGAGGAAGATTTTGGGTCCATTTTGGGTCATTTTTGGGTCCATTTTGAGGAGGATGTTGGGGCCATTTTGAGGATGATTTTGGGACCACTTTGGGTCCATTTTGAGACCATTCTGAGGATGATTTTGGGTCATTTTTGTGAACATTTTGTGACCATTTCGGGTCCATTTTGAGGATGATTTTGGGTCCATTTTGGGGATGATTTTGGGACCATTTTGGGGATGATTTTGAGACCATTTTGGGTCCATTTTGAGGAGGATTTTGGGTCCATTTTAGGACCATTTTGGGTCCATTTTGAGGAGGGTTTTGGGTCCATTTTGGGGATGATTTTGTGACCACTTTGGGTCATTTTTGGCTCCATTTTGTGACCATTTGGGGTCCATTTTGGGGATGATTTTGTGACCACTTTGGGTCATTTTTGGCTCCATTTTGTGACCATTTGGGGTCCATTCAGTGGCACTCTCCCAGCAGAGCTCATCACCGTGCTCGGAGTCGCGGTCGTTGCCGTCGCTGTCGCTCCGGGGGTTTTTGGGGTCCTCGTTGTTGCCGGTGTCGTTGCCGTCGTTGTTGCCATCGTTGTTGCCGTCGTTGCCGTCGTCGTTGTCGTCGTTGCCGTCGTCGTTGCCGTCGGTGCCGTCCCCGCTCCGGCTCCGTTTCCGTTTCCGGGCCCCCTCGGGCTCCCAGCGCCCCCCGGAGCGAGCGCGGAACCCGCGGCGCCGAGCCTGCAACGGCCGCCATGATGGGCAGGGAACGAGGGAGAACGGGGTCAGAAAACGGGGGGGAT